GACCTCTGTTACCCACGCAAGCAGTTCAACCATCCCATTTCCCAGGCTTCAGAAGGTAGGAAGAAGTAGCGAAATTACAAAATGTATTCTTAAACTGATATTCCCTTCCCCACCCCCCAAAAAAATGTAACCCCTTGGACTGTACCTGAGGTTGGCATATATGTTTGTGAGATATTTAGGAAAATCGAAAACTATTTTCTTAGAAGCATGTAGATTGCGATGACCTTTATGTTCGTAAGGCATGTCTATCCCAGCATATCTTAGGACCTCTTATGGATATTTTGACGGCATTAAACGTATCTGCATCTTACCTTTTACAAACTTTTATGTCTTCAAGACTGTATAAACCTCAGTATACCTTTACTGCCTTACCGAATTGAAAATACCCTTAATACTCGTGGAAATAATGATAGACAAATACACAAGTAAACAACTAATCGCTTCAGCTTAAAGGCCTGACCAGCAAAGCAGCTAAAGCGGAAGCACTCGAAATCCTGACGCGGCTGGAACTACTGGACAAGCAGCATATGTTCGGCAGTCAGCTCTCTGGGGGTATGAAGAGGAAGCTCAGTCTAGCCATATCCCTCATGGGTAGTACGAAGGTGAGGTTTGCCTTGCATATAATGCTTTGTGTAGACATTTTAGGTCAAAAAGAAAAACGTTGAACTATAGAATATGTTGGTAAGATTTTTATTAAAAGCAAAATATAATGGAGGATTCAATAGAAAAATAAAAAGTACCGGACTACTCTGCGGCTCATATTGTTTATTTACAATACTCTTCACTTCGCAATGACTGGAAACTTTCAATTGTATTCTCATACTCTTAATTTATTTAATCTTCATACATTGTTCATCATATGGCATTCGATTTTATGTGACGCTTCCGTAAGATTTTGCTTTAATAAACATACCACCATATTAAATATTTTACTGGTTTTCTTTTGACGTTTCAAATATTTTTTTTTTTTTTACTTTTCTTCAAAATTGTATGTCCGAACAACTTCGATAATCCCATGCTTTTTAGCGACCAAGAACTAACATCTAACAATGTGTTAGGGGTTTCGGGATGTTACAAAAAAAGGTCTTAAATATTGCTCACTGTCAACCAGTACGATATTACGAGAACTTGTTTAACGAATTCTCGTTCAGGTGGTGATCCTGGACGAGCCGAGCAGTGGGCTGGATCCAGAGTCTCGCCGTTGGGTCTGGGACGTGGTTCAGGGTGAGCGCGGACGTCGGACTTTCCTCATCACGACGCACCACATGGAGGAGGCGGACGTGCTCGGGGACCGTGTGGCGATTATGGCTTCGGGGCGGGTCGTGTGCGCAGGCTCTACACTCTTCCTCAAAAAGAAATTTGGTGGGCATGACTTTCGGGAGCATAGTGAAGCCCTGAGATAATGAAGCTTACACCCACGTTCACTTACGATATAATAGCAATCCGACATTTCTCATTTGCTTACTTATCCTTGGTTTTAGGTGATGGCTATACCCTGACTATAATGGTAAATAATGAAACTGTGGTAGAAGCTGTCAAGAGAAAAGTGGAGGAACACTTGCCTTCCGCCACCCTGGCAAACGTCCACAGTGGAGAACTGACCTTTAAACTCCCGCCGGACACCGAGAAGTTTGCTGCCATGCTGGACGCCCTCTCGGCCCAAAAGGAAACGCTGGGCCTCAGACACATTAGCCTCTCCCTCACCAACATGGAGAGGGTTTTCCTCAGGTTAGCTGAATGTGTCTGCATAAAGAAGTGCAGGACTAGCTAAAGTAGGATAATACAGACTGATAAAAACAGTCGTAAAAACAAAAGAGCATTAGAAGTAGACAAGAATTTCTTTTAATTCCCAGGTATTCCTCTACTACTATTGAACAGTAAGCAGAATAAAACTATGGATCACTCATTTTCATAGTCCTTGAATTAAAAGCCTTCCTATTATTTGCCATGCATATAATATCATTGTAAGTCCCAATAGCCTCTTTATTATCTACAGAGTTGGTGAAATGTTGGACAATGGCAGTGGCACTACTGGAAGTTCCGTGGATGGTGGCACTAACGGCTTAACCATGGCAGAAGTGAGTGAGCACACGAATGAAAGAGACCGCAGTCCCATGGAATCTGCCACTGATCTTGAGTCTGCCTACGCTAGTAGCACTCACCAGCTTTACCGGGCCGATGAAAGTAAGGAAAACACCTTTTCATGATGTTAGTCATCCATCGATGTTTGGAATTTGCACCTTAATTATTTCAGGTTCTTGAAATAAATATAAGTTGATGCAGTAGTGCGTCAGTGCGGTTATTACTAAAGTAACATTGAAAAGGTAGTCTCTCCTTTGTTTTTGCATTTGGTGTCTATAACTAATTGCTTTCGCTATTTTCAGATAATAGGCGTGTCAAAGGAAAAATGTTGGCATTTCATAGGCTTAAAGCTTTCCTAATCAAACGGCTCATCTACTCTAAGAGGAAGTGGGTTCTTCTGATTACACAGGTAATCTTTTTCTCACTTAAGCTGGTTGAACTGGACTGAACTCAATGTTTTTTTTTTCTTTTTGCCCATGAATTTACGGAATCCATTCATGTAAAGGTATAAATAATGACGCAGTTAAGAAATCTTACATATGCAACACTCCATAGAGTCTGATTCCTGTGCTGGTGAGCATCATTTGCCTCGTTGTGGACAAGAACATTCAAACCCTGTCGAGCAGTGAGCCCCCACTCCAGCTGGACCTTGACCTCATCTCCCCGTCGACCTCCTTCGTCCACGCTGGCGAGAATCAGCAGCCTTTAATGGACCATTATGTGTCACTATTTTCTTCTCCACATAAGGTGTTTCCTTTGGTTTAACACACAGGGTTGATTGCAGAATTAGGATAGAATCTGAATGTGGCCGGCAATTATATATTCTTATTTTATGTATAATGCGTTATTACTATTATTTACAGATTTAACTTTTCATCTGTAAAATACTACCTATTTACAAAATTTCCCTTTTTTATCAGGTGTTCAACACTACCAACATGACAACAAGCCTTCTTGAAGCTGCCAACGAGAATATTCTTTACTACCGGGAAAACAACATATGCTCTGTAAGTGCTTGGCTTGATTGTATTGTGCAACCACACAGACACCACCCGCACGCATACACATATTCACGTCCTTACAAATGTGCTAATTCTGAGTGATGGGAGGGGGGGAAAGGAGAGAGGGAGAAGAAAGGAGAGATGGAGAAGAGAGAAGAGAGGGATAAGAGAGGAGAGAGGGATAAGAGAGGAGAGAGGGAGAAGAGAGGAGAGAGGGATAAGAGAGGAGAGAGGGAGAAGAGAGGAGAGAGGGAGAAGAGAGGAGAGAGGGAGAAGAGAGGAGAGAGGGAGAAGAGAGGAGAGAGGGAGAAGAGAGGAGAGAGGGAGAAGAGAGGAGAGAGGGAGAAGAGAGGAGAGAGGGAGAAGAGAGGAGAGAGGGAGAAGAGAGGAGAGAGGGAGAAGCGAGGGGAGAGGGAGAAGAGAGGAGAGAGGGAGAAGAGAGGAGAGAGGGAGAAGGGAGGAGAGAGGGAGAAGAGAGGAGAGAGGGAGAAGAGGGGGAGAGAGGGAGAAGAGGGGAGAGGGGGAGAGAGGGAGAAGAGGGGAGAGGGGGAGAGAGGGAGAAGAGGGGAGAGGGGGAGAGAGGGAGAAGAGAGGAGAGAGAGGAGGGAGAGAGAGAGAGAGAGAGAGAGAGAGAGAGAGAGAGAGAGAGAGAGAGAGAGAGAGAGAGAGAGAGAGAGAGAGAGAGAGAGAGATTCTTTTATGATGGTAATTTGCAAAGTCTGCCATGAGCAGCAAAATTCTACAAGGCTGTTAGATACCACTGAGGAGGCAGGTTATGGATGTAACTTAATGCTCACTCGTGGGGGATCATCTGAGCACCAGAGAGACAAAGGATGCATTTCTAGGCAGTTTCTTCTGGACTGGATCCACGGCCTATATCAGATGCTTCTGCCAGTCTTGCAGTGTGTACCAGTGGACAATGAAGTATGGTACTGTGCCAACAGAGAACGCTGTTGATTAATGCTCCCTTTTAAATGAGTAGCAGTGAACCTTATTGGTCCCATAAAGCCTTCATCTAGTGAAGACTAAAATGGATTATACAACATGACTGAAGTGGTAGTGGCCCTAATGGAAACCTGGTCGTGCTGTAGGAAATTGTCCATGGTCAAGAGATACAGTTTATATCCAACTTCATTCTGGAGATAAATGCTTAGCTTGCAGTAGCTGTTAACTACACTCTACCACTCCATGGACCCTGTAATGAAATTCTCGTCACTCAGCAGCTCGTTACCCTGTCGGAAGGGGAGATAGGGGGAGGGGGGTAGGTATAAGGGTAAAAGGACCACCTAGCAAGAGCAGCACTGTTTGTTCTTTTTATTTAGTCCTCATTCTTATTTGTTCCTCTTTCTCTCTTGGGTTTTGCCCCAATCTAAGCTCTTATATGGATTTCATGTTATTAAGTTATCAGTAAGTGTTCGACATCTGTAAAAGGCTTGAATAGACTATGGTACTGGCAAGTGGGAATGTAGAAGGTCAAAGACATTACAAGAAGTATTACGACTGCAAGATGAAGGACTTTTCAATCAAAGCTGGTAATGAAGTTCTGGTACTCATGCTGACTACTTATAATAAGCCTTCTGTGCAGTGAAAGGCTGCTGTGGTAACATATACCAACTAAGAGTGGGTAACAAATTGAAGGGACTTTATGCCAACTATTGTAAGAGATATATCTGTCATGACGACCCTGCAGTTAACTGACCATTACCAATGATGACTCAAACACGGACTCATCCCTAGCACATAAGATCGAGAATGTCGCAGCTGCGATGCTTTAGTAGGAAAGTGGCAGCAGTAAGAATGCTATCACGGGTGATCTTCTAGAGACCCTCGACCACAAGCATTCAATCATGTTTGGCCAAATCAAGGTGAGTCAAGCAGCAGTACTCTGAATGGAGAGGCTTAAGTTATCAATAGTAGTGACCTTATCACCTTCCACATCCAAACAGGCAACATAATATTTTGATTCATATAATCTCTGCAAGTTGAGGTGCAAGAAATACTGGATACAGGAATCACCACCACCAACTAAACAAGAAAGTTGATTTGGTCCCCATGCCCATGAGCAGAGGGTTTTCTACGTAGGTTAGGAGGAGCCAAGTACTTCTCAAAGATCGACCTCAGCAATGGGTACTGACTGATACCGGTGATTGAACAAGATATCCCCAGTTCCTAAGATTGGTTCATGTTGGAGTAACCCCTGTGCTATCAAGATCCTGCTTAGGAGAATGAGAGAAGGTAAGAGTTACACTGATTATATTATCATCCACGCGGAAGGAGCATCTCCATACCTAAACAAGGTATGGGGGATCAGTGTAGATTGGATGACAGCCAGGATATTACAGTGCTTTCTGGCTAATGACAGGATGAAATTCACAAGGCATATTATCTCCGGTGAATCCATGAGACCATTGCTTAATGTGTACTCAACTATGCCAGCATTCTTGTTCCCCTTACTTTTCAGACAATGAAGGGATAGTCAAGTAAAGTATGGTGGAAGGGCCATCAAGAAGCAGCATACTCTTCTCTCAAATCCTTGTTAACTAACCGGCCAATTCCTAGATTGCCTAACCACTCTCATGCATACATCTTGCACACTGATGTATTAGATACAGGCATAAGCGCCGTCCTACTGCAGGAATGGAAAGGCAAGTTGTTCCCTTTTAGATATTCCAGCAAGCTGTTGAACTGCAAGAGGAGGTACTCAGCCATGGATAAGGAATTTCTGGCTGCTGTTTGGGCTGGAAGGAAATTCTACAATAGTCGGTTCATCTTACAAACAGATCACCAACCTCTGGCTTACCTATGGAAAACAGAATATGGATATGCCAGAATTGTGTACTTCTGGCTCCAAGTGTAGTCACTCAAATGGAGTGACAGTGATGGGGCTAATTTCCTTGGCAGAGCACACTCACCAGAGGAACCCGTTTGTTGGACCAAGCAGGGAAGAATCGAGAAATGTGTAGATGATATCCAGGATGATGATAATCTTAAGACGATGGGACAATATCTCAGGTTCATCATAGGCATGCTCAGGAACTTCATCAGTGTGTATCTAAGACCCGACGATAGTAATAGGTCTCCTATGATTGACCACCACGCCATGTGGAGATCGAGCTATCGCTGCTGACAACGGCTGGGCGGATAAAAGGGGTATCAGCCGAATTATCAGACTTTGACCTATTCCCCTTTTGTGACTGTGCCTTCTCTTGTATATTGTGCTCGGTATTGTAAACCGTGTTATTTATCTCTACTCGTGTTTGTTACTTTTTGTGTATGCGTCTTACTTTTAATTAAATAAAGGAGAGGGAGGGAGGGAGAGAAAAAATACAAATTTGGATAAAAAACACTCAAAGACTCTCACCTTCCCCATAGGCCGAATTCCTGGACCTCCCTTACCACCCCAAAGACTACACTCTGCTGAATATGCTCTACCAGTCAGTCCCGCACCATGTTCTGGGGATAAGTACCTTACTGGTGGACAACGCCCTGTTACGTCTGGCGACCAACTCAACAGATCACGACATCACCACGACAAATCGCCCGCTGCCGAAAGACACAACTGTGAGATATTTTATGATTACATTTGAACGAAACTGGATATGGTGAGTTACTAATGCCTCACGAACCATCTAAATATGCAACGATTGTGGTATTTGTTAAATGTCATTATCGTGAAGGAAGTGACACTCATTTGACCTGATGAACTCTAAGTAGAGCCTTCGTTATATTGATTTATTTGAAGTAATCACTTATAGGTCTGACTGATGCCCTTCTATCCCCCAGTGGCAGTTCCGGACAGATTATTCCACGAGCGCCCTGGTATACTCCAGCGTGATGCCTCTTGCTCTCTGTTTCCTCTCTGCCTCATTCCTAGTCTTCCCCTTGCAGGAAAGGGAGACCAAGGCCAAGCAGGTATGGCATCTTATAGCATGAGAACCACAAATTTATAAACTGTAGTTTTCCTTGATAATAACAAATTTGCTTCTCTTTTCTTTTTATAACCTTTATTTTATTACGAAACTTCCTCTGTTCTTTAAAATTCGTAGTTGTTTTACTTACACCTATTGTTGTATATATTTTTTGCTTAGCACCAGGGCCGGATTATGACCTTTTGGGGCCCCGGAGCTAATGAAATTATGGGGCCCCCTCAGAATATTTTTTACTCATATATATTTTAGCAACATTTACATAGCTTGAAGTAAACTTATTGCAAATTCTTTAAATAAACTAGCATGGCTATCTTTTGTTTGTCAATAAAAATATTCTTTAAATTCCACTATTTTACTATATTTCAACACAACTGTACTGAAAAAGAAAAAATTATTTTATAACCAAGCCCCTCAAGCTTGGGGCCCCCAAGCTTGAGGGGCCGGGGCTGCAGCCTATACTAGCCCCTAGGATAATCCGGCCCTGCTTAGCACCTATCACTCTCTGTTGTTCTTGGTATATTGATCTCTGCCAAATGCCATGGCACAACCCCTGCAGGTCCAGATCATGACTGGCGCCCCTGTGTGGGCTCTCTGGGCCTCGTCCTTTGTGTGGGACTTCTTGGCGTACATGGTAACAGCACTCCTGATCTTCATATTCTTTGTGGCCATCAATCCGAGCAACTTCTTCCTGGCTCCCCAGGCCGCTGGTGGGTGCTTATCGCATTTCTTTCGTATTCGTATGGATTTGTTGAGCATGATAAAAACGCGTAAATCTGTGTTGCCCGTCAAGTAACAAATTTATGTTATTCTAGGAGTACTCTTCTTTTTGCTGATGATGTACGGGTGGGGCAGCATCCCTCTCTCCTACGTCTTTAGCTTCCTCTTCAAGACAGCAGCTTCAGGTTTTGCTATTCTCACCCTAATCAACATTGTGGCAGGTAAGGACTGTTTATCGTAAATACTGTAAGGACACAGTGGTACTGTGATAAGCTTATCGAATCTTTCAATAGTCAGTTATCCCGCATCTATGTGTTTTCCTTCTCCCTTTACCCCCCCCCCTCTCTCACTCTCTGTCTCTGCCTCTCTCTCTCTCTCCCTCTCCCTCCCTCTTTATCATCTGTGTTCCTGATAATCAGGTCAGATGTTGAGCCTGGTGGTCTACGTCCTGAGCATGACAGGAGTGTCTGGAGCTGAAACCGCGGGGGATGTTCTTCACTGGATTAGCTCCATCATCCCAACCTATCCCGTATCTGTAGTCAGTATTTTTGTGTGGAGTATATAAAATCGAAGTGCACATAATGATTATCTATAAGATTCTCACTAACCGCTATAATATTGATTTCTCTGTAGTAGCATTCAGTTAATTTATTTCGATATGTTTCAGGCTTTTCGACACTTGGTGCAAACAAGCGTGAAGAACTCCTTCTGTGACACATTTGACGCGAACATAACAGCTCAGCTGTGTACAATCCTCGCCATTACTGATAGTAAAAACGATTTTGTCCAATGCTGTCGTGAGTATCTCCACACGAAGGAAATTTGATTGCCTGTATAAAACTTCTATATGTATTTATTTTCATAAGTATTACCTCGTTATTTTCAACACTTATTTTTTTACCATTTCTTCATTTCGTTAGTTGACTGTGGACATGTATAGTTGTATAGTACAGGACATGTGGACATATATAGTATAGTTTGTGTAGTTGTACAAACCGTCCCCTGAAACTCGTTAGTGAAATGCCTATGCCCAGGAACTGTCAGATGCATAATTTGTTAAGCCAGATAAGAAACATTATGCGGTGTGTTTTATATGCTGGTTTAAAGGAAATTTCAGTTACTCTGTCATGACAGGCATCAGTTTGAAATGAGGGGAGAAGAGCTATGTTGTAAATACGTGTGGAGAATAAATTGAGTAGCTACATATGGTAAAATTATAGTTATAAAAGTTTATTCTTACTTCAATAGCGAAAATGTATACTATTGGCAGCTTATTTAAGGAAATGTTTCATTACACACACACACACACACACACACACACACACACACACACACACACACACACACACACACACACACACAACTCATGCGCGCGCGCATCTAAAACGTCCTCATAAATTCCCACATTTCAGCGGGCGTGTGCGGCAGGAACAACACCACCCCTTGCTTCGAGTGGCAGTCCTATTTCCGCTTCACAGAGAATGGCATGGGGCCTGATCTCCTCACCCTCTTCGTCGACGGCCTCATCTTCTTCTGCGTCATCGCTCTCATCGAGGCTGGCATTGGACGTGTCTTGCTGTGAGTGCATTTCGAAATACGAGTGTCCGTGTCTATGTCTATGTGAGGAGAGTCTGGTTATAAAATTAGGAATGTTGGTAAATGAATGTGATGAAAAGTCGTAATGATTTCGCCTCTGTCACAGGCGCTGTTGGCGCGAGTGTTCGGGGAAGGCTGGGATATTCCGGCGTGCCAGGATACACCAGCAAGAGAGGCATCAGGATGAGGATGTGTTGGCGGAGGAAGAGCTGGTAAAAAGGATGGTGGCTCGCGCACCGGGGGATGCAGGTGTGTTACACACTGTCTTTAGGAAATTAGGCCTAACGGCGATTTTTGGGTAAACAAATTATTCTAATGACTTACATTGTATTTACAGCGGATCTAGCATTTATTGCTGGATGTAAAATTGACATCTCGTAAGATCTGGCAGGATGGAACCTAGGAACCCATACCATTTTGCATATCTTAAAAAAATACGTTAAGAGCCAATTTGCGCACCATCGGGATCCTCTTTGACGCCATTCCCCTTTTTTTTCAAATAAAAGTAAAGGAAACAGAATTTCCCCAGCAATTGCACTGCATGCCGATAGTAATAGAACCGATTTAAATTCTAACTGCCTTTCCTAAGGTCCAACGTCCATTGCCAAGTGGTTATGGTTGCCCTCGCTATATCGGTGACACACTGGGAAATCATATAAATTTCATGAAAAATAGTACTTAAAATGTTCTCTTCTGAACCTTCTAGAATACTTGGGATAAGGGAATTTACTTCTCTTCTGTACAGTAAAATGAAAAAAAAGGATATATTGTATACAAAAGGTAGTTACAATCTCCCGCGAAAATAAAGTATATTAACTGAAGGGTTAATCAGTAACAGATATCCAAAGATAACAAAAACTAGGAGAGTCAGCTTACCTCATAATAAACACGCCTCATGGGCAAACCGTCGTGACGTCCCCCAACGACTTCACCGCCGCCCCTCACGCAGTTCTTGGGTCATTTTGAGTCAATGGAAGAATGAACGAACACTAGGCATATGCAGGTGCCGAGCTCCCAGAACGGTTCGAGTGTAAACATAAAACCTGTAATTCCTCTCTTTGTACAGGATTAAACCCTTGTTAGTTATCTTTTACATATCATGGTACATAAACGTTACAGTTCCAAGAAGTGGTGGCAGACATACACAGACAAAATGGTCGAAACATGAAGAATGGCAAAGGATATTTTTCAGTAAGGATTCTGCCATGTAACCTTATTATGTCTCGACTTGCATTACATAATGTATAAATATAATCACATAATGTTAGATGTGAAGAACATAGTTCTTAACTCGTAAGCCTAGTTTGTTTTAATCAATAGCGACTATGATCATGAATTCGCTGCGTCTGTTTGGTGCTGGGATAAAATTAAATATGTTTAACTTTACCGCTCGCGTTTCGGTGGTGAATAGATGACTAGTACAGACGGTGTGTGAGGGTGTATGTGCTTTGCTGCAAGGTGCATTATCCAATTTTCTTTGGTATAAAAGGATGTATATTCATTCAAATCTCTTCATTTTCTTGTACGACCTCCAGTGGCAGTTCATTCAGGAGATTATCAGAGGCCCCCTCAGCCTGATCCTTGCCCATCCATTTTCGTGCCCATACACTTCTTTTTCTTGACTGTTTTCTCCTAAACCAGAATCCCGCATTCAAGCTTGGAGTACCCTTACACAAAAGTACTCTTTCACCAGCGAATTTGCTGGTGTCCAAAGCGAATAAAAATATCGCCGTGTAGACGACGCTTCAGTGATAGGCCTACACTTGAGCACTATCATAATACTAGAGATTGTGGCACATACGCATAATAGTATTTCATATTTGTAACAGAACGCAAGGATGCGCAAGTACAATTTTAATGGGCTCATTTGATTTCCCTCGCTTATATCATCCAGTACAATCGTGTCCGAATTTTGCGTCATTTTCTCCGATTTATTAGTGCCGGAAAGTTACGGATCATGAGGGTTCTGAACTTTTAAGTTTCACAAACCCTGAATTGTCCTTCTCATTTTACTAAGAAAGTGGGATAAAACGTTTCTTTGAATGTAATGGTCAGATTCTACAGTATCAGTGTTATTTTTCATTTCCAACAATACCACCTGTTAGAATGTACGCATCTAATCTTTCTATCTTATAATGCCATCGCACACTATCTTGACAAAATATAATTGATTATTCAATCCAGCCCATTTGTATCACACTTGCAATCAAGCTTAACGAAATACTGCATTTGTTCAGTTTGGAACCGTATCTGAAATTCTTCCTTTATTAAACCGTAACATTGATTAACCAACTAATCACCCAGGGCCGTCATTTCAACTTTTGCTTGGGGAGGGCGAAGTGAGCACAATTAGCGGGGGATTTTTTAGACGGGGGGGGGGGGGATAAACCTCAATAGACTATAAATAAAATCCTATTGGGTTAATTACAAGTCTATGTGGACTAAATGTTATGGTGTACTTTAAATTTCTATATATAACCTTTTTCTAGTATTCACGGATAATATATATAAATTTATGCAGTGCAGTTTTATGGAAAAAAAGAGCGAGTACCGTGGTACTGATGATACTGATGTGATCACAATACATACATGTTTAGAAGCAAGCATCTGCTTTTGAACCTTAATAGGTAAATCTAGTACTGCCGTATATAAATATATACAAAGATCGATGATAACCAGGGGGTGGGGGGTCTGACTGACCTTGAGGGGACAAACAACTGCCCCCCCCCAATTTACGCCTCTGTTATCAATGGTATCTGATGTCCTCTCACATTTTTAATTCTGTATATTTGCTTGTGCTCCAGTAACCTCACATATCCCACAGTCTCGGTGGATGCAGCGATGCTGGTTTCTGATCTATCAAAACACTTCTTCGGCTCGCTGATTCCCGCCGTCAACAAGGTGAGCTTTACCCTTGGGCGTGGAGAGTGCCTGGGTCTGCTTGGCGTCAATGGGGCCGGCAAGACCACCACCTTCAGGATGCTGACGGGCGATGAAGAACCCTCAGGTGGGAATGCCTTCATAGACCGCATCTCACTGATGCACCAGAGGAACAAGGTGGGTGTAATGCAGATGGAAGAGAACACATTTAGGTCATGGCAGATTAGCACACTTTGTAACAGCAAATTAGCGTTTGACTAGCGATTTTCCTCAACTGCTGAACGAAACGTAATTATCTAACACATTTCTTGCCTCGACAGTTTGTGCAGAATGTTGGCTATTGTCCTCAGTTCGATGCTATTATGGGTGAACTAACAGGCAAAGAGATGCTATGGTTAATGGGAAGACTCCGTGGTGTAAAAGACATTACTCTACGGAGAGAAGTGGAAGAGCTGGTAGCACTGGTGGATCTGACGGAGTGTGCATCCCGGCCGTCCTCGACGTACTCAGGCGGAAATCGGAGGAAGTTGTCTACTGCCATGGCGTTGGTTGGGGCGCCATCCCTGATTTTCCTTGACGAACCCACAACTGGTGTGGACCCAGCGTCTCGCCGTCGGGTGTGGACGGCCGTGAGTCGCGCAGTTAACAACGGACAGAGCGTGGTCCTCACTAGCCACTCGATGGAGGAATGTGAAGCTCTGTGCTCCCGCATAATCATGATGTCCAAAGGAGCTGTGCGCTGCGTGGGCACCACAGGGCATCTGAAAGCGAAGTTTGGCCAGGGTTATAGCCTCCAGATCAAACTAAAGACCCATGATCTTAGTCAGGCAGGTGACGATGAGAATGAGCGGATTTATCAGTCCAAATTATCGGAACTAAAATATATTGTAAGTTCCTACTTCCCAGGTGCAACGGTGTCAGACGAACACAAGGTAGGTTCAGCTTGACATATTTTACGTAAAATCTGCATCTGCTGAAACAATATATCTTTGGCACATGCCACCTATGTCCAGGAAATGTTATCTCTATTTTATTGGCCTACCTGTGGTATTGTCATTTAATAATAAAGATGTCATAATTATATATATATATATATATATATATATATATATATATATATATATATATATATATATATATATATATATATAAAGCAAGAGCATATGCATGAGCTCACTGAACTTCTTTTTTCAGGGAATGATTGCTTACTTAATTCCGAAGAATATATCGTGGGCGTTGTTATTCTCGGTCATGGAAGACCTGAAGGCAGGACGAACGCCCGGGTCCGAACATCAAAGTCAACCACAGTCGACAGATATTGAGAGTATGCCACCGTTCGTCGAAGACTATGCTGCCTCAGACACCTCTTTGGAACAGGTGTTCCTCTCCTTTGCCAGAGAAGCTAATCCTGGTGAGGCAGGAGCTGTGGTAAATCTCCAAACCCACACAGGGAACCTCTCTGAACAATCGAGCAATAATCTAAGTCAAGGTGTGGCAGGAGGGAGTGACCTACTGCCGACGCCAGGTAATGTCAGCAGCCCATCTCAGACTTTTCAAGAATTTTCCTCTTCCAGTATCACAAACGAACAGCAGGTTCCAATGGCTACAGTTAATAATTCCGAGGATTTAATGACAGAACTCTAGTCAATGTAAGGTAGACTGTATACCGTATGAATATTAAATGTCTGACTTCAGGATTGCATATAAGGGTAAAATAAAAAAGGAGGCCACAATCCCACTCAGCAGCGCCATAAACAAATATGTTATCGTACTGCATGTCATTAATTGAATTCTAAAAATGCGAATACAAACATATTTTAAATGTCTGGCTTCAGGATATTAAAATAAAAAAGGAGGCCACTTCCCCTTTCATCAGAGCCATAGACAAACATCTTATCGTACCACATGTCATCACTTAGATTTAAAAAAATGCGAATACAACTATTTTAAATGTCAAATCGGAAATCACATTCCCTTTCATCAGCGCCATAGACAAACATGTTGTTGTACCGCATGTCATCACTTGAATGCGAATACACTTCCCAGAGATTTGTTGAATCTCTTTGTTTTCGCCGTTTTTTGTACATCCCTAATTCGACCACTGGACCAAATTGATTGGCACCTTCCTTCCATAGATCATGTCATCAAGTACCCATTCTATGTTGGTTTTAATTAAAAGTATTAAAACAGTGCTTGAATTAAAGATTGCATGTCACTTACATCTGTTGGCATTTATATGAATATTTCGAGTCTAGCATGGAGAAAAATAGTTTGAAATGAACCGAAGCATAGATCCTCATTGAACATAAAAATTGGAAGATGTCCGCGCAAAAAAGTGGAAATGTAAAGCTTTTCGCTCTCTTCTTAACAGAGTTTGACAACAAGAGTCAAGTTTTATGTAGCAATTGTCAAGAGAAGCCCCAATTACTGTATCATTATCAATTATTGATTACGCTCCAGGCCTACCTGCCATAAAATAAAATCACAGGAGGGTCGTGACTTCTATTGTGTATTGCTGATCCTCTTAATTGCCAAATAAATTTTCTTCATTTACATTTTATCAGCTACAAATTAACATACTCTAGTTGTCAATTTCTTGGATTATGAATCCAGTAGATTTTCTGGTGTGTCATAATTCAAAATTTTTCTTCACAATTTATTTGTCTTTTACTTTTTATTGACAAGTTTTTCTATCTTTATTAAATATGAAATTATATATTAATGACTCAAGTATTGTGTGAATAACTATATGTAAATTTAGTTAATATAATTTTAAATAAAGTATAATCATTTTTTTTTCTTGTTTCAATTAATACTTAAATTCCAAAGTAAGTCTTGTTCATAAGTTTTCAGACTGTTAGCTTACATCAATACAAATGGTTGTGTTCAATATTGAAATTTTATATTGTATCTGCATTCCTGCAATTCATAATTTCCCCATAGTATTTTTTCCACATTCTCCCAATGCTGGATCTCTCTCAAGTGATACTGTCTTCTTGATTTACTGTTTTAATTATTACCACTGTGGCCGGGATGGCAAGAATTCATGTCAATATCCATTCTGTCTTTTTGTTTACTGATCGTCTTTACACATACTCATACTTAACTTTTCCTTGACTAATGTCAACTGCAATAACAACTCTGATATTGATAGCATTAGGAAAAAAATAATGAAGACTCAAGGAAAAGGGAAATCAGCTGAGGACATGTAGGCTTGATTCTTTGGTGGCTGAGCACTTAGGAAACCATCAATAAGCAAACAAAATTGACGAAAGAAAACGACAGTAGACAGTGTGATTACCCAATACCACTGGGTTAATTTATTTTATTCATTAGAATTTTTTCTACCGCATCAACATCTAAGGTCATTAGAAAAGAAGGGGATGAAGAAGAGAAGGAAAAGGAAAGGGGGAGAAGAAAAGATCATGCAAAATTTGTCAAGGCCAGGGCTGAGGTACAAGGCAGGGGTGATCCTCCTACACTGGGCCTTGGTCTTGTCTCCTAAGGCTCCCCCCACAACAACGACGAGCAAGGGATGGGGGGGGGGGGTAAGCTAGTGGATATATGCCTAAAATTTTCAAAAGATAACTATAAACCAGTCACTTAAAAAAAAACCCTGAAAGACTTGTTTCATGTTTTTAGTTATTCAGTGTTTTATTCATCTGCCATATTATACAAACTGTTATTTAATAATCAAAACTATGGTCTATTCTATACTCATCCATATGACAGAAGTTTCTACTGGCACAAGAGAACAGGTTGCCTAAAGGCTGACTTTTTACTTGTATCTATGAGCAAACCAGTAAAGTGCATTTTAACTTTGAATACTTTAAGTAACATCAATCCATGCATGTGTATAGAGGAATGTGCAACTGATTTTCTAGTACATTTCACTGCTCTAATTTTACCATATCATTTGTGTAAATTAATTTAAAGAAGTGTGCTTTTGATTTATTAAGGATACTTGCCTAGTGGCGGCCTAGGAGAACTAGTGCACTTGATGTGTCCTGAGAGGAGTTTCTGCTGTGGATTAAAGTTCTTTAACTTATGTGTACTGTAATCATGGTTTGATAAGGGCCCTTGGTGTTTGTTTTGTTTTACTTCATAAAAACAGTATATAATTTCTTATCAACAGTTAACTCAACCACCACATATTTACGTTCTGAATTCTGTATTTTTTTGTGAATTTTCTTACATACAGATGCTCCACATGTGCTCAGTTGGTAAGGAGTCTATCAGTAGACCCGAGTGACTGATCCAAAATTCCCCATTCCTTAAATTAGCGCCAAAATGCTTTTTTTTCTTTTTTTCAATACACTTGATATTGATACTGTTATTATTGTTATTGGTTTTATGATTATTAAATTATTATTTCTGATCATGGTAATATTTATGACAATGAAATAATACAAAAGACCCTTTCCAAAAGTCTAGGAAAAGGGTAAACAGGTGAGATAGGTAGGACTAATAACTGACTCTTTGGTGATTGAGTACTTGTAGTGTCATCTCCATGTAAATACAAATAAATATATTACAGTGGGCATGGCAAGTATTCTTGCCATCTGTGCCATTTGGGATAAGGGAGATTGGAGAGAAAATGGAACAAAGGCTAATACACATGACTGAAAATTGCAAAATGCCTAAATACTTGCACATGATATAATAATAATGACTTGTAAATTATGGATAAAAACAAGGATATATATAGAAAACTACCAAATATTAATGTGATAGAACAGAAATATGTGTATATGTGTGTGTGTGTGTGTGTGTGTGTGTGTGTGTGTGTGTGTGTGTGTGTGTGTGTGTGTGTGTGTGTGTGTGTGTGTGTGTGTGTGTGTGTGTGTGTGTGTGTGTGTGTGTGTATGTGTATATGTATATGTATATGTATATGTATATGTATATGTATGTATATGTATGTATATGTATGTATATGTATGTATATGTATGTATATGTATGTATATGTATGTATATGTATGTATATGTATATATGCATATACATATACATATACATATACATATACATATACATATACATATACATGTATGTATGTATGTATGTATGTGTGTATGTGTGTAAATAAGACACCATAAATAAAATAAATGTAAAAAAAAAAGAAAGATATTCAACTGTCTCATAAAATAATTCTTGTATGATGAAAGATACAGCAATGGTCATTAGTGCCTGATAATATATACAATATGAAAGACTGATGTTGAAACACTTCTGATGCTAGGCAAATGCTAAAAACTATAACCCAAATATTGCACCTGTATTTAATACCTTGATATATATTTGAGTTTACTGCAGTGTTATGTCTTGTAAGGTATGCAAATCCATATCAGATGTAATGCATGATGTGTACTAAACTTGTAAACAAATTCTGTAGCATCCATTATTACCAATAAAATGTATAGTGGTTGTTGATTTCAGATATGGCCTTCCTTTAGTAGGAAGCTAATCATTAATAAAATACAAATACTTGTATATCTAACTACAATAACACCAACAATAATATTACATGTTCAGTAAATGTATGTACCTTTATTTTGCCAAGATAGTACACTGGGACAAATGATAATAATTTTAAGCTCTAATCACATGCAATGCCTTTTCCCTTTAATCCTGGTTAAAACTGATAACAGATGCATGCGTCCTACACAGACAGCTACAAATCGCAATATTACAAAGTTCGTACACAAACTGCCTTACTAACAAGCAATAAAATGAACCTTACATATTTAAATACAGATCTATGAAATGTATTTTGCTGTTATATATGTATTCTTACAAATCATATAAATTCACAATCTTAGTCATTACATAGTGATATCCTGATATAGCTTGGACTGTGAGTAACATTGTGATGTATGGTTTTAAATAGTTATTATCTAAAATCTAGTAACCATTGTTATATTTTACAAATTATTTATGCTTTTACATATACAAAAAGAAAGAGAAAAAGCCTTTAGACCATAAACTTCACAGCATTATAAGAACTGCGTAGCCCTGCTAAAATATCTCAGTTTGTTGCACTTAACATTAAGTCATCACAGCCAGGTGTTCATTACAGAACTTACATACATATGGCAACTACATATCTTAGTTACCAATTTTGAATAGTTACAGTTTATGCAAAAGGGGGATTTGCAAATTCTAATAAAATGGTAGTCTACAACTATCTTTCCATATGCCTTGTAATGAACCACTCCTACTCATCTTTCTTAACTTCGTAAGTCATCTGCTATTCAAAAGCCAAAAAAGCACTACAAAGACAGGCCAATTGCTCACTTGAGATAATGCATATCAGTGACCCATTTCTAACATGGTTTGAGCTTTTATATTATCAATCACCTTTGAAGAGTTTAATAATCTATCCCAAGCATGAGTCTGGGAATTATTTCAGACAAACTGTCTCACATAATAGGCTTACCAACCGAATCTAAAGCTTTATCTTTATGGTCCATCATTTGTGGAGATAATTCATAATTACAAATTGTAACACCATGTCTATGTGCTTTTGTGTATTCTCCTCTGAAGCCTATATAAGAAACTTTAGTTGTTTCTTCACCAAAATTACTTGGGAAGTGGATTGTCAGATGAGTTACTGATGAAAATTTAACCACTCTGAAAGGAAAAGAAAAAAAAGGAAGTTATTGAACTTTATCAACATTGATGCATTGGATCCAGGTGAGACTTACTTGAGTGATAACTCCCCTGGGTTTGTAGCTTGTAAGCCTGGCCGGTCTGAACACACACAGGATCAAGACTTCTTACTTCTTTTTTATGCTATTAGCTCTTAGTCTGTAGATGTGTTTTTGTTTTTCCATTATATGATATCTACATTTGTCATTTGTTTTGACTGTTTGGTTGAGCAGACTTCATATCATCTTTCCAAGAAGTATACAGTAACAATAATTACCATCTTCATATTATTCAATTTCCTATGACAAACCTTGCATTGCTGGTAACAGTGACATATTGTCCTCCTATGTTCTAATCCTCTGCCACATGCCAAATTTTCTTTAATAACAAGATATTCCTGTCACCCACCCCTAAGCAAATTTTTCCATAACAAGACATCCCCACCACCTGGATCCAATGGGTTTAATTTTGTATGCATGAAATGGAAGAAATGTTTCATACAATTATATTTCAATTTGCAACCCCACTATAAACATGCTAAGCATAGCCTGACCTAAAAATAATGGATGCTTCCACACCATAATAACACAGTAACACACTGACACCTAAAAGCCACCCACAAGTTTGTTTCCTTAGTTATTTCATTTTCATCTCAACTCCTCTTTTAGAAACAAAAATTTTTAGGCATGTAACATGAGTGTCATTATGTATGGTTGGGTTGCTATAAAAGGGCAACAAAGAGAAAGTGACTAGAAAGAGACTGGAAATATATACATTAATTGATTTTATGGCTTATACATGTATATACAGGTATGTAATTGCACAGATATATACAAAGAAGTATATAAAAATATACAATTTTTTTCTTACTTGGTTGTATACTCCAATGTACCAGTTGGATCTTGTTGCAAATCAAATTCTTGCTCAGCTGCTGAATTTACGTCATCAAAAGTCATATGAGGACGATTCTTGAATCTGAGGAAGGAAGTATCACTACTGTTTACTGGGAAAGTAAGAATTTAAAACTATATCCTACACACATACACAACAGATACATGCATGAATGCTTACACTTAAAGTACATCTGTGTGTGTGTCACGGTTATCTACTACATAATATATAGTATATATAGCTCTGCTTATTGTGTT